CATCTTCCATGTCGCAGATGTTCAGCCAGGACTTTGTATTTCGTCAATGTTGATGATTGATCAAATCATGAGGCGAGATGAGAAAACGAGCGTCGAGATGGGTACGTAGTGGACAAAATATAATATACTATACATATACATCCAAAATGTGTGGCATCCGATGAGGTTACCGCGGTTACCAAGAAACTTTATTCAAGGTGCCTGCTGTCATCTACGCAATGACGCCTTCATAAAGCGATGGCCATGGCCCATGGTTTCGTCAAGTCAAGAGAAGATGGACGGTAGCAGGAAGGCCCCCTCTCTTCCGTAGAAATACGTTATAGAATAGAGGCAGGCGGAGAGGGACGCTAAACAGTGATACTAGGACAAGATGTTCCAAGATGGCGCCCGCCAAATGACGTCGCTTGGCATTAGAGCTGGCGCCGATCACCTGCGAGCCCCAAGCCCCATTCGCCGACATGTACGACAAACCACCCACCTCGGTACCTACAGGTATATTAAGTACCTAGGTAGGTACATTATGTACCTAGCCTGGTCCCCCGAAGCCGCACTTAAAGTGGGCCTCCGAGCTAGGTGCCTTGGGTAGGTACTTACTTATGTAGGTAGTACCAAGTGCCTAGCAGGTTCAGTGTTGGGAATTAAGCTCTACGGTTAGAAGAATGCTATGAGCCCTAAAAAACCCATATGTACACTCACTCCACGGGACAACGTCTACTTCTTTCTTTCTTCTCTTCCTTTCTGTATGCCTTGATCTAACTTTACCAAAGCTAGAAGCTGTTCTCTATACCGCCGATATCGTGGCATGGGACAATGAGATGGCTTGTCAATAGCATCTTGAGGACTCCTATTCGTCCTCTTCAGTTCAGACCCGGAACAAGGCCCCTAAGCACCATCGCCTCGGGTCTTCACCATGTAGAGCGGATAAACGTACCTGTTGGCTCATCTGGGAGCGTGAAGATAGAGTAAGCTTATCCTAATCGGGTTTCAGCTTTGTCTAGTACCGTCCTTTCTGATCATTAAGCAGCCTACATAATCTGGCCAAGGTCCTATCGCCGGAGCCGCTGCTAGTCTACCTCCCACCTTTCCCTACAACAGCTCCTGTGAGCGATTTGGCGCAGCTGCCAAATTTTGCTCAGAGGTATGCAACGGCAGTGATTCACTATCGGTGGACGGACCCCTGGCCTGAGGAAGGGTCTGTACCGGATGATGCCGAGAATGGCGAGGAAGCGGTGCTTCGGGGCTTTTATCCAGGCTGGCCGACACCAATTCACGATACTTTGAAAGCCTACACATGGATCGTTGAGAATTTGATCCCTACTACTTCACCCTCCGCACGCCGTGACGTATATGTCTATGGCTCATACCTGGGCGCCTCATTAGCAACGTCGTTAGCCATGACCGAAGCGCGTCCATGCGAACGCATGGCAGTCAGGGGTTGTGTCGCCTACAACGGCATCTACAATTGGACCACGTTCTTACCCGACCATCCCGCTAACAAGTTGGCCACGCCGGAACCTCCGAATTCCGACTTCCATAAGATGAAGCAAATGACCAGCAAACTTTTCAATAAGCCCGACGACATGTTTGACCCATTTGCTAGCTCTTGTCTGTTATTTCAAACAGCAGGCTTGCTTGTCCCTCCAGCTTTCGATCGGTCTGCGAGACCTCTGCCATTCGCTTATATCGACATGCCTTGGCTAGCCAGCGAGCCGGTACGCGAGCACCCACGTCTGAAGCATCCCACGAGGAGTCCGCTCAATTTCCCTGAAAAGAAGTCAGGGCTAAGGATCCCTGAAACGCTTCTGCTACATGGAACCGGGCCGCACCTCCCGCCCTCATCGAAGGACAGACACCCAAGGCTAAAGAAGCAAAGCCTTGAGAACAGCTTCCGGGCCCAGGCAGAGAACCTGGCAAAGGCCATGCGAAGAAATATCAGTGAGATCGAACTCAAGGAGCCCGTAAAGAGTGATGAAGATGAAGACATGGCTGACTCTGGAGATACGGTTGACTCTGGAGATATGGTTGAGGATGAACATATCGTTGAGGATGAGCATACGGTTGAGGATGAATACATGGTTGAGGATGAATACATGGATGAGGATGAATATATGACTGCCCATGGATGGAGAGATCTGGATGCTTGTGAAAAAGATCTGGATGACTACAGTGATGAGGTCAAGAGACGAGTTCAAGTGTACGAGGCAGGCGACAAGAGCGATGATATGGCTGCTGAGTGGTTAGACGAGCGAATGTTTAGAATGCCGTCGGAAGAATAAACTGTCACGCTCGAGTTACTCAAAAAAGGCGCCATATTCACAAAAACCCAATAGATAGCACATCCACGATAGCATAACCCCTGAAAGCAGTTGACTGACAAGATGCCCATCTACGGTGACAATATACTATTTACCACCTGCAAGGAGGTATCAGGTATTTAGCATTTTGACCCGGGCGTATGTTCTTGTAAGATGGGCTATTTGGTATATGACCTACCACGGTAGAACATTGAATCAAGTCATCCGGGTATATCCATCAGGTAAGTGCTACGATTACCTTTTGACGGCATTGTGGGAATGGAACAGTGTGACATTAACTGCCACATTGATATTGGTGCTGTGGTAGAGCCTAGACAATTTATAGCGCACAGATTAGTTTGATTTACAGGTCTTCTCAGACCAACAATCACCCCACTTGTCATTCAGTGCATGTCCAATGAAAATTGAGTTTTAAGGCAGATAGTGAAAAAGATTCGATCTAAGCCCTGTGCTGATACTGGTATAACTACGTCCATCCTACATGTAAGTATACCTATGTAGGTCCTTATGTAGGTAAGTACCTACATAGGTAGACAGTGGGGGCCAACGGAGTAAAGTGGGCTGAAGTGCGGCGTGCCTCAGAAAAGCTTTGGGGACCTGGTGGTCTGAGCGCCCGCTTGGCCACCTCGCCTCGATGCCCAGGTGCAGCCAGGTGCCGCCGCCCCCGCTACAACACACATCTCCGGCCGTCACGAAAAATCAAAAACGAATTTACAAACTGCAGCCAATTCCCAAATCCACGACATCAACCTCCTCGCTCCCAGTCAACCTCAGCGAAAATGGCCGACTCCGTCACCCTCCGTACTCGCAAGTTCCAGCGGAATCCCCTGCTTGCTCGCGTTCGTAGCCCCTTCCCATTGCCAGTTTTGGGGGGGATCTGGAGATGCTAACAGATACTGGATTGCAGAAGCAGATGGTCGCGTAAGTTTCCTCTCCCGCCGACATTTCCCTCGACTCGACACCAGCGGCGATAGCGACAGCGACAGCGACAGCGACAGCAACCCGTATCCCGAAACCACGAAGCCGCGTTGTCTCTTTTCCTGCCCAAGTTCCTAACATAGCCTTCTCTAGCGACATCATCCACCCCGACCAGGCCGGTATCTCCAAGGCCAACCTCCAGCAGAAGCTCGCCACCCTCTACAAGGCGACTCCCGAGCAGGTCAGCGTATTCGGCCTCCGCACTGCCTTCGGTGGTGGCAAGACCACCGCCTTCGCCTGCATCTACGACTCAGTTGAGGCCCGCAAGAAGTTCGATGCCAAGCACCGCCTCGTCCGTGCCGGCCTAGCCACCAAGCCCGAGCGCGCATCCCGACAGCAGAGTATGTTTCCCCTAGTCGCTCTCCTACTGTCTGCTATGGACAATTGCCTTACCCAATCTCAACAGGAAAGCAACGCAAGAACCGCATGAAGACGCTCCGCGGTACCGAGAAGACAAAGGGCAAGAAGGCGAAGAAGGATTCGTAAAAGGTTTCATATGGGTTATAACGGTCAAGGGAAAGGGAGCGAGACTAGCTACATAGCCAAGTAGTGTCTCGTGACAAAGGCAATGCTATAAACGCATCTTCATTGATACCCAGTATCAGCCAGTCGATCCTGCAGTACCCCGCAACCGAATCAAAAAGCATTTGTGACGATCTCGTTCCCGATCCTCCACGGCCTCTACTGTTTCTCGGTGCATCACGAAACCATGGTACTCTGAAGAGTTTGTGATAGAAGGCAAAGGAATGGTGATACTTGTTTCTAGATGATGTGGGAATTGGTTGCACGCATATCGCATTTGCTTGCCCCTTCAGCAGCCCACCCCACAACCCGTCCTCTATATCATGATCTCCGGGTCACCAAGGTTCGCTTCAAAGCGACAAACGTGATATTTCATGCCAAGATAGTATAGACAACTTTAATCGTATCATCTATCTATATGAGCTGCCAGCACAAGTTCGATGTCAAATCCACCCAAATTGAGCTCCAAATTTTGTATCGCTCCGCTGATGGTGAGACGAAGCAGGTCTAGTTTCTAGTCCCCAAAGTGTGTATATAGCCTTCATACGACGACCTTTACTAGTCTCGGTTTAATATTGTACTTACGGGATATATGATATGGGAATATCATGAACCCCCTAGACAGCCCCGTTTCGGTCGTCCTAGAAGTTCACGCTGCTGAGTCGGCTGCTAAGGCACAAGCTCAGTCTCGAGAACAACCAAAGAACATGATTATGTATGTACTGTCAAGTTCAGGCGCGGCATCAAGGCAACCGAGGGGTCGTCACTTTCTAGCTCCAGGGTAGAGAATACTTCAGGTTTTAGGACGCTATGATGGCAGCGGGGAGATACTAATTCACTTCATGTAGAATGGAAATATGTTGGTCGACATATTCAAAGTGGTCTAGTTTGTGCTCAGGCAGCCCAGAGAATGAATATTCTATCTACCCAAGCGTCCAGCATGTAGTTTCCAAGTCCAACAGGCAACATAACCTTCACGTCTCCAATACCAGGGAAGCGAATGGCTCTGCAACGTGGTAGTTCCCAAGGAGGTATGATCTAACGCACACTACGCATAGACGTGATACCTAGATTGCTACTTGAATTACCTCGCCGGCTTGCCGCCTATGGACCAGTGGAATACATGCAGCCTTAACACACAAAGGCAAAATGAAACACGACAGGCAAAATATAAAACATTGAAGCGGGCCTCTCCGGGATTCGAACCCGGGGCCTCTCGCATACTGAGATTAAACAGACCCAAAGCGAGAATCATACCACTAGACCAAGAGGCCATCCGTTTCGGGAATTTCGCCTCTTAATACGCATAGGTATTCTGCTTAGTTGCTCCAAAGATGAGATGAGATGGAACAAGGACAGTCGAGAGACCTCTGGCTATTACTTAATTGTAGTTTATTCTTCTGCTCTAAATCCAATAAACGAAGTGTGCATAAATGTCGCTGTGCTCTGGTATAGCCAATAGTTAATTCCTCGGGAGTAGTAACTACAGCCCAGGTCAGATAAATGGATGATCTACAATATTATGCGATGTCAATATTGCCCTCTCATGAAAGTTCCATTATGGTAGCTGGTATAACAAATACGGACCTTAGGATTCGTGCCATTATCTTAACTAGGCTGCCAAGGTTAGGACATAACATTATGTCCACTGCGTTTTCTCGAAAGCACCACAGAAAGGTAGCGGTGTGAGAGAAAGACGGTGAATGAAGACTCCATCGCACAATGCTTCAGAATTAAACACATGAACTCTATCTGGGTATTGAAAATCTACAATCTTCAATCCCGTCTGAAATATACGTCTCAAATATCCAGAAGACCCATAAACGCCTCCAGACCTCTCGACATCTAATCTAATATCTCGACAGTCTAAATTCCCCAGAGAAAGGTTGCCTCTAAATCTAGACACCATTGGTGCCATTCGTGTCCGCCGCCTGCCGCTGAGCAATTATATCAATGCACGCCTTGAGCTCCTGGTCGAACACCTTCTCGTACGCGGCACGCCTCTCCCTGTGCTCGGCCTCGGTGTAAGGGATCTCCGTCCCTTCCCTGCGACGACGGCTCTCCGGGAGCTCCTCTAAGCTCGCGTTTGGGTCCTGGCCTGTCTTATCTGCGAATTCATATGACCGGTATTCGGTATTATACCAGCCAGTCCCTGTTGTGAGCTCGCTGTTAGTCGTCACAATAAGCGGGTGGGACAGTGGTGGTCAATGAAGAAGATGTACTCCTTCTTCCTCGTGCGTAAGGGTGCATAACTTACCCCTTCCAGGGTCAATACCGCGCCAGTCCTCGGTGATAAAGTGCAGGATACCGCCGTGTGTGACTAGGACCACCTGTGCGTCGTCACCGGCATCTTTGATGAGATCCCGGAGCCATAGTCTCGTGCTGCGGGCCCTGGCCTCGAGCTTATTGGGGTCCGGGTAGTATTTCGAGTCGGGCGTTTTCTTATTCCAGTCTTCCGTGAGCTGTTCAAAATCGACGAGATCGCCGAACTCGTTCTTCAGCTTTTCGACATCACTGCCGACGTCGCAGGGATAGAGGGAAACCTCCTGGGCGTCTTGGAGAGCGACGATCTTCTTCCCTGCTTTCACTTCCGGTGCGAAGGAGAACTGACATGTAAAGATGGTCCGACGAATGGGTGAAGCGACTAGGTGAGTGATCTTGTCATGGTAAGGAAAAATCTTGCAAAGCTCCTCGCATTGCTCCTTGCCGAGATCGGTCAGATCCGGATCCCGTATCCATTGGTTCTCGTGACTGAGATTGTGGTAACCCTGGGCGTGACGGACTAAGTGAATGATAGGCGCCATCGTGATACAGTGTTGCGTGGCGTCCTAATGAGAGCTGATCTCGACCGGCTGGAATAGGACTGGAATTAAAATATGATACGGACGCCCTTGCCAGAGGTTAGGAATGAAGCGGCAGTAATACGAAATCTGGGCGGTGTGATCAAATCGCAAGGAGAGAAAAAAGAAAACTCCGAGTTGGGCTTAAGTATTCAGCACAACATACTGGGGAGGGGGGGCTTACAAAAGAGCAGCGAAGACGCTTTCTTGTTTGTCAAATTCCACGCCGAGTTGTGGGGACTCGATAGAAGCTAGTTAATCTTGTTGGTCATACAAGCCCATAACCAGAGGGGACTACCTAAGATACTGCCATTGTACTACGAAACGATATTATTACCTGGTAGTGAGTATGCGTAAAAGTGCTCCTGAGATATAACATGGCCCCATCGTGATTACTATCAAACGGCCGCACGGCCGGTAGCTCCCCCCGAATTCGCCGGGGCACGTCGAATGGGTCTTGCTGCAAATTCTCTTAGCTCATGCCTATGACTCTTCATTCATACCGGTCCACCCGATCTCGGTCGGTGGGGTCCGGACCCGGAGGCTTGTGTCGACGAGGCGTATCGGGAAACCTGATTGGGTTACTCCGCCGGGCTATGCAAGCAATTCTGACCGGAACTCGCTTATTATAAGATTAATGAAACGAACACCAGGCGACACGTGGCCAAGAGCTCAAAGGCCATACGGCGACACCTGACAGCCTGTTGGAAGCGCCTATTGATACGCCTATTGATACGCCATCAATTGCAGGCGTTCTTGTGTCCAATACTGAGTATGTGGGTGTGAAGCTAAATCTGCGGGAGGCGATGAGTGACGGCTGAAGGGTTTCAGGCATGGTCCGGGTTTCTTGATACTGATCAGACGCGTTGTGAATTAAACAATGTGGAAGTGGTGACTTCAACTTCCTCAACGTTCTTTGTTTAGGTATACGACTCTATACCATGTGGAGTCGGCGTTGAAACTCGATGTGTTTGGATACTCGACATTCAACTGACACAATGTCGTCCAAGTCAACGCACCTCCAACGTTGGTAGTGATAACTTTGGAACACCTAATTTATGCATAGAAGCTCTACATGATAGCAATGAAATGACTGTTGTAGCAGTGCAAACGAGAGACTCCTGGGTTTTCGAATAATGTGTCGCCTGCCAGGAACTTGGGGTCTTATGCGCCCTGCTTCGGTTACGTCCTGCAACGGCAGTATTGTCCGGCCTCGGTAGTAATACATGTCGTACATAGTGCACGTCGACGAGTCACGCGTCGTCTGCAACGATATGTATACCCAGATGTAGATGGCACTGGATATCTCCTATTCCCTCTTGCCTTCTCGTTCTCTGGTGACATCTGGCTACGGTACACTCACTAGTATGTACCACGTTGGCGGATTTACTTCGGTAATTGTTCCCGAGATGACTGCTTGCTCATTGAGTCCAGTACTGTTTTTTCCCTAGGGTTCCCTAAGCTGCTCGTCTTGGCTATCAGGGGCTCGTAGGGGGTGGTAATGAGGGCCCAAGCGCCTTGCATGTGCGCGTCTGCAGGCGCTAAAATACCCCATCTCCAAATATTGGCTGGGGTTCGGGGGTCTTGGACTAGCTCTTTCTCCTGGATGGATGGGCGCGTATCCACCTTCTGCGATATCATTTCCCATTCCACTCTCCTACTCTTCAAGCTTCATCACACATCCTGCCATCTTGTCTACAGACAACGACAGCTTGCATAGCCAGTAGATTCTTGTCTCGTTCCTTGACGAACTTCATATCCCTCGTTGGGAAATATCTTTTCGTGAAACCTTCAGTGGATTCATCACAGCCGACACAATGGGTGGAATTCGTGAAGCTCCCATTTCCTGCACCCTATTCTTAGCCCCTTCCCAAGCTTTCCTCTTCCGCTGCGATGATGGCCATAGACGAGCTTTGCAATCGCATTTATCGTTGTCGCCCAAGTGGACATGTGCTGTCGTCCTCTCACTTCGCGTGGCTCGACCGGAGATGGCGGTCCTTATCTATTCACTCCGCCTGGTACCTCGTACGAATGCATGCTAACTTCCGCATCTCGTACAGCGCCGAACGCACTTACCAACCTAAAGGCGAAGTTCAAAGCCGTCTTCAAGAAGAAAGACAAGAAAGCGAAGGAGGGCGAAACCACTGGCGGAGCCACCGAAGCGGCCAAGGTTGACGCTCCAGCCGGTAAGTGCGACGTAGAATCCATAGATTTTCGGTGCATACCTCGGAATACGACGACACACGGCAGAACCAACACAGGATCCTCAAGTTGCTGATTCATATGCCTTAGCTGCTACCGCCGCTACCGCCGCCGCCGCTGCTCCTGCTGCTGCTGCTCCTGCTGCTGGCGGAGAGGCCCCTACCACCGACGCAACTAAGACCGATGAGGCAGCTAAGCCTACCACTGAGGCTAGTAAGTTGTTTACCCCGCCATCCACTCCCCGCAATGAATCTGTCGCATCATGTGGAGCGCTCGACTTGCGAATCGGGCTGTCTCGCTCGGAGCTGTATGCACTTGCTGACCTTCAAATAGCTGCCAGCACTGCTACCGAGGCGAAGTCTGAGGACAAGGCCGCAGAGACTGCTGTTGCTGCTGACTCTACCACCGAAGCCCCGGCTGCCGCAGAGACTGGCGTTGCTACCGACACTAAACCCGCCGGAACCGCTTAGAGACTCGCGATAGACACCATTACGGAGAACTTTCTCGAGACGCGTTCAGAAATAACTGAATGGATATCGGTCATGGGGTTCTTTTCCATATTTGGCATCGTGATGATATGCGTCCACACATGGCCAGTCTGGTGTGTTTGTGGTGACAACTTGATTCGGAGAGCACATTCCTGAGGAAGTTGTTGTTGTTTGATGGAGTTTGAGATACCCTTCTCAAGAGATAACAATTGAGAGTTTCCAGTTCTAAATACGCTAAGCTTATCGCGTATCGATACTTGATAAGCATACGCCTAAGATCTACTGTACAGTGATTCCAATCTAAGGCCACCTGCGCTAATGCAGAGGCTTTCTCTAAAGATGGCGCTTTGCCCTTTAAGGCATAGCGCCTTTCCTAAGTGGCCCGAGCGTCTTCTCTCTTAACCCTGAGCGAGACAACTTGCCCTGGGACGGATCCTCTTGGTGGCTATTTCATGCTCGTTCACATCTTCAAAAGCGAAAGAATACTGTTACATCAGAGACAGAGGCAGATATAGAGAGCACAAACGTGTTTAGCACTTGTTCCGGCGATCTCCGAAAGCCGTTTTATCCCGGAGAGACAAGGCCGTTGTCATCGGTCGCACATATGTATATTTTCCCTTGGACTATTTTCCCAGTCTTCTGTTGGACTGATTACACATGTATCACAAGTTTCCTTGATTTAGATCATTATGCACTCGAATAAATCCTACTAATATTCGATTTACACGTGTAAACCCAGACCTG